CTCCCATTAGATATTTATACACATTTATCAGATCCCCTCTCAGCCTTCTTTTCCCCAGGCTGAATAGATCCAGGTTACTCAGCCTTTCCTTTTCCAAACCCTTATTCATTTTTGTGGCCCTCTGCTGGAATATAGCACCCCAAGAGCAGACTGATGCTTAGGTGGCACAAATTTCTTCTTCCCTTGACATACTTTCATCTCATACCAGCTAAGAATGTGTTGTTCTTGATTTAATACACAAAAATCTTGATTTGATTTCTACCTCTGGTCCCACATCAGAAACAAGAAATTTGATCCTGACTTTCAGCTTTAAGACAGAGATGGATGAAACCTACAATCTAGCATCTTTCCTATGTCTGTGTATCAGCCATCTGACTGCAAGAACTCATGCATCTTTGGCCTATATGACTTGAGGCTACATCTTGTACTGATTGGCACTGGTACCACTTTATTCATTGTCGCAGCTACGTAATTTTCTGTCTGCTGGTGCCCCCGACCATGGTTGCCATTAAATTAACAGGAGCAGATTACCATACACATGGGAAGAGAGCTTTGAGGACTTGAAGAGAGAGGATTTATTATATTTTTCCACAGTAAATGAGAGTTCAGTAGGATTTTTTTCCCAGTAATTCCCTTCCTTATATGTTCTGCACTTGCCATTTGGGAAAGTCCCTGAAATTATACATATGAAAGAGGCTCCCAGTAGTGTCACGGGGGGTATGAAATTGTCAATGGTAACTTACAGTTAAGGAGTTTTGGTTGAGAACAGGCATACAGTACCCTGGTTGTCTTGTCTAGCCATGTGACTAAACATTCAATTTACTATCATTATTATCCCTGACACATAATGATTCTTTTTCTACTTGTCCATTTGCAATATCCATGTATCACTGGTCATTACAACCAATGACAAAACACTCTTTAGATTTGTTTCTGGACATTTCAAACGGTTGAACTATGGAAGAAAAGAGCTTCAAATGTTTTCCACTCTGTAACCTTGCTGTGATTTGCAGTGATGAATACCTATTTTTAGGAGTGAAAATGGTTAAAATCCTCATTTGAGGGTATGGTAGGAGCCAAAGAGCCACATTTGGCACTCAGTCAGATCTCAAAGTTTTGCAATCCAAGCAAATTTTGCAGCTGGGAAAGCTAAGAACCCTGCAGAGGTTTAAATGGCACACATGACAGGAGAGCCGATAAATAGAGGTTACTAGACAGAGGGGAAAATAAGAAGAAATACATTAGTAACATTTCAGATTGCCCATGCAGAAGCTCAGTAAGGTGGAAAAAAGAATGAAGTTTTATATACTGTTTACCACTATCGTAGACTAAAGATTTCTTCCCTCCATTTCACACCAGTTGAATCACTTTTAGTGATTTGATTTCTACCTCTTTTACACTCATTCCAAAGAATAAATTCCGTCGTAAAACTTAAACCTGACCTTTGGCAGAATGACAGAGATAGATGAAACCTATGATGTAGTATTCTTCAAACTCATACTTTCGAATGTGGTCCAAGCACCATGAGGAAGCTCTCTTCATCTGCATCCAATATCCTTGTGTTCTAAGCACAATTCCTCCTTTTCCCTTGTTTTCCACGGGTTTAACACTGCAGAAACAGCTGCAGGAATAATGTTTCACACCCATTTTGGTGATCATATTAAATAAAGAAGAATCCCATATTTTGCCTGAAATAAAAGATAAAGAAGTACTCACCAGCTCCTTCTTGCTGAGGAAGGCTGAAGGAGACAGAAAGGTAAAGAACTACTGTTTGTATGTGTCTATTCTTTGATACACACATGTGTGCTGGAGATACGACCACGAGCTTTGGATATTTCATGTTTTGGCACTGCAGCACTTTTCATCAACCTTCCCTCTCAGGCTCCATTCATAAATCGCTTTTGGAGTGCAAATAAGCCATGGGAAGGCTTTAATAAATGGTTCCTCGCATAAAGTTTTATTCTCTAATAATAATTAGCTTATTAGTAAATCCCTAATGGCATTACTAAGGAGGTCATTACCATTATCCCCGTTTTATATCTGCAGAAACTGAATCTGAGAAAGGGAAAGTCACCCACTAGGTAAGATTTGTGGATGCAAGCTCCTGAGTTAAGGCAAATGCTTTATTTAGGAGGGTGCACACATGGGACAAATGAAATAAATGGTTGATCAACTGGTGTAAACAGAATGTACAATGATATTCCTTAGAATACAACGAATTGGTACCGTGTTTGGATGTCAACATTTTTTTAGAACCAAGTGTTCATAGAGACTATCGTAATACACACATGTCAAATTGTTGCAGTGTTCATCTTTAGGAAACCTCTGAGCATCCATACACTCTAAATTTGTGCCATGGTCTCTGAAATTGTTAAAAAGAAACTGGCATGCCATTTGCTAAGTTTTTCTCTAAAAGATATCCTTTTTATTCCGATTATTCCAGGTCATTTTGAAGACCGTGCTAGTACACTTGATTATTTTCTTTAACAGCTCATTACTGGCCAGCAATTGGGTAATTTCCAGTACCAAGGGATTCCTATTCAAATGAACAAAGATCATAGAATCATAGAATGCCCTGGGTTGAAAAGGTCCAGAACGGTCATCTAGTTTCAATCTCCCTGCTATGCGCAGGGTTGCCGATTCCATGCTCATCTATGCATGGAGGACCTAAACAATTCTCTAAGAGAAGAGAGAAGTTCTGACAGACAGTGCATTATGTCAGTGTTGTGAGATGATCCTGAGGTTGCAGCTCCTCCACGTCATCTCACAGCTCTGGGAATTACAGTATTGTAAAATCTGTGCAGTAAAATTTGTGCAAATTCAGTACATTACTGAATAACTCCTAAATTCACTGTGTAATAAATGATGGAAGAAATGGATATTTAGTCACAGGATATATGACACCTAGTGTGCTGGATACTGGGTCTTCCAAGTAAGCCAAGAAGCAAACTATGAAAGGAATGTGTGAAACTGTCGTGTTGGCTTGTCTTTCCAGGGATGGAGAGCCTGGAACTGTCTTAAGCTAAGGTCATGTATCTGGGAGACTCCTACAACTTCTTATCTTTGCCTGCTGACCTCGTGGCTATGGCACCCACTCAGGATCTGACAGTTTGTGGTCCTTCCCTCCCCAATCCTGTGGCTTCTGCATGCTATGAAAAAGCCAGAGTGTGATCTATCTGAGATCAATGGGGAAAGAGAAGATGCCCTCATCATCTGTTCTCAGAGTAGCAAGGAATTCAGTGTGCATTGCAAATACAAGTGCAAAGGGCAACATTCCTAGCACAGCTTGCTGCTCTTGGATTTTTATTTTTATTTTTATTTTTATTTTTTTTTTGAGGTTACATTTATTTTTCTTACAATTCAAGCTACCTAGTGAGGAATGTATAAGGAGTTGTGGGAGCATTGCAGCTTCCTCAGGTTGTCCCTTTCCAGCTGAATATGCAGAAAAGCTCACACACCATCCGCCTGGCTCAGGGGAGCTGGTTAAGGTAGGATTGCGTGTACGAAATGAGCATAGTTAATGCCTGTGAAGTAGTTTAAAACATCTAATGACAACTCAGACTTGAATCTTCCAGCTCTATAGAGCTGCAAAAATCTGCAAGTCTCTCCAGGGAAATTTTGATCCCCCTTGGTCCAAAGACTGTCTGCAAATTGATGCCTCCGGGTTGAATTTTTGCATGTGTGGATATCTGACCACCTCCTGCAATGCTGAATAAAGTGCAAGGCAAAGTGCTCCAGTGCTCAGAGTGTGATATGAAGAGTTTGACATGCTGGTAAGTAAGCCACACATTCCAATAATTAAAATTCCATGCCTGGCAATGAGGTTTGGAGGGTTAATTAGGCTCATAAGCCAGGGTAGCAGGGAGACCTTTGGGAGAATCTTGTAGACAAGCAGCAAAGCATGTGACCTCATTTGAATTTTCCTATTAGGCATCCTGCAGAGATCTCAAACGTATCCCATCATCACTGCCTGAAACTTTGTTTAGGTTGCATGTTTGCAAACACAAGGAGTCTCTATTAGATTGCACAGCTGTTATATATACTTTCAATCATCCAGCTGGTGATTATTTATGGCAAGCAAATAGATCCTCCCACCTCCTTTTGTTTGTTAGCACTAACAATAAACAATACAATTATAGCGAGACTCTCCCATCCGGTGTTTTGGAGTAATCTTCTATTCTTCCATTAGCAGCTTTCGATGGTGCTGGTTTGACCAGTGGAGAATGGCACAGCTGGACATGGGGTTCTTCTTGTCTGAGGCTTTTTAGTCTCTGAAAAGGTTATCACAGAATCATAGGATTGCAGGGGTTAAAAGAAATCTCTGAGTCCAACTGCTTGTTAAAACAGGTTCCCTATAGTAGGTTGCACTGGTAGGTGCCCAGATGGGTCTTGAATATCTCTGGAGAGGAGCCATAAGAGGAGCTTGACCTGTCTCTGTGCAATCTGCAGCTCCTTGCTGATGTGCCCAGCTGCAGTAGATGCTGACAAAGAAGGGTGAGGAATTTTCACCTGAGTGCCATGCTGTGCACTCTGGGGGAAGCCTTCATGCAAACAGGGTGGCCCTAAGTGACAAGATAGCACATCATAACCTTTACATCCACATATTGTGCAGGCACAAAGCATCACCGGAATAACTCACTGCACGGGTCACAGTGAATTCCAATTTTACCACAGCCCTTGTTCTTTGTGACAACACTGAGAAATTCACCTTCTGCCTTTTAGACACCACCACAACCCAAAGTACAGCCTTGGCCGTGGGTTACAGCAGGCCCCCACAGAACAGAAGCGTCACACTTGGCACGCTGCTGTATTTCCATTATATGTCTGTGAGTGAAATCAAACCTGGGGGATTTCTTCCTCGCGCTCCAGACAAGCGCCCGCACTGCAGAATACAAATGGAGAGCAGGGCTGACGCACACACTCAATGCTCAGCTTGCTGCCCCAGGGACCGATAGCGGGCTGCAACCTTGAAGGGCTTGGAGCTCGTTAACACCACGATTTAAATAACAGCAGAGCCGGGGGGGAGCAGGTGCTGCATGTCCCTGTAGTGTGTGTTTATGTGTGCACGTTTGGTTTAGACAATGAGAGTGAAAGTGCACTTGCTTCTTTGGTCTTCAGGTAGCAGCCCTGTGGAAAAGCATCAAGGAGGGAATGGGAAAGAGCTTTGTGTGATGTTTTTGTTTGTTTGTTTGTTTGTTTGTTTTCCCCTTTCCTTGGAGATTTTGGATTGATTAAAAAGCTATTTTTGCTGGGAAAACAAGAAGAAAGAAAACAGATCTATGTGGTAAGGATGAAAGTGTGCTTGACTCCTCCAGTGAGTACAATAGAGTTTAATATCTTTGCTGGTTGGCCCAATATTGTATCACAGGCATCACCGACATTGTGCTTCCCAGCATGCCCCAGCCTTCCTTCAAACAAGCACTCGGTGTAGCAGAAAGTCCAAGAAAAGGCTTACTCCCAGGAGGATCAAGAAGAAAGCAACGGTGAAGAAAGGTACAGTGGCTATTAATATTAATGCTTAAGGAAGAGCAGAGAGAAAGGACACGGGAGCAGTAGAAAAAAATGACTACTCGTGGCTTTGATGTGTTCATTTCCACAGGACCGATAGCAGCATGGAGAATACAGAAAGCAGATAAAGAGGGAAAGGAGGAGGTGGAGGTGAGCAGAAGGCAGCTCAGAAAATTGCACAAGCTATGGGGAGTTTTTCCATCGAGACGTTTGTGCATCTCAAAGGGAGTGACTCTGCCATCTGCATCTCCTCTGAAAAAAAAAAAAAAAAAAAGAAAAAGGAACAGAGCAGAGACAAAAAAAGAAATCCACCTGTTGTGTCTCCTGTTTTGGCTGTAGTAGGACAAATCAGCACAGAATGCCTGCTGTGCGAGGGGAGAGGAAGCCAACGGAGGTGCTGTTGTGTCTGAGGAGCCACACACAACCAGTCCCACTGCTCAGTTCCTACTGACACACTGGGAAGAGCAGGGAGAAACTATTTTAATCCTGTTGATGCTGCTGAGGAACAAAAAAAAAATGGGAAGTAATTAAAGCTGTGTTCCAGTCTCACTTACTTTTCTGAGTCTCTAGGCTAGAGTTATTTTTGCTACATTGATTTAAAGGCATTGAACTCATGTTTCAACTTGGTTGGATTTGGTTGGAGCTCTGTGGAGTCACCATGGAGCTCTGTGAGGTCACTATGGAGCTCTATATGGTCATCAAGAAGCTGTCAAGGGGTAACAATGGAACTTTTATGGGGTCACTATGGAGCTTTATGGGGTCACTATGGTACTCTGTGGGGTCATAATAGATCTATTATGTGGAACCTACAGAGCTCAATGGGGTCACAAGGGAACTGTTCTGGGGTCACTATGGCTCACTATTGTGTCACCATGCACCTCTGTGGAACTCTTATGGTTATACGGGAAGTGTTATGGGGTAACAATGGAACTTTTATGGGATCAGTATGAGCTCCATGGGGTCATAATGGAACCTTCATGGGGTCACTATGGAGCTCTTTGAGGTCGTAATAGCTCTGTTATTTGGAATCTACGGAGCTCAATGGGGTCACAAGGGAACTATTATGGGGTCACTAGGCAGCTCTGTGGGGTCACTATGGGTCTCGTGGGGTGTCTATGGAACTGTTCTGAGGTCCCTAAGAAGCTCTATGGGGTCACAAGAGAACTGTGATGGGGTCACCATGGAACAGCACAGGGATTGCTAAGGAGCTCTATGGGGTCATAGTGGAACTGTTTTTGGGTCACTAGGCAGCTCTATGGGAACTCAATGGAACTCCATGGGGGTGTCTATGGAACTGTTCTCAGGTCCCTAAGCAGCTCTATGAGGTCACAAGGGAAGTGTGATGGGGACACAATGGAAGAGCTCAGGGATTACTTTGGGGCTCCATAGGGTCATAATGGAATTGTTCTGGGGTCACTAGGCAGCTCTGTGGGGTGTCTATGGAGCTCTAGGGCAACACTATGGAGCTCTAAGGGGTCATAATGGAACTGTTATGGGGCCACTCTGCAGCTCTATGGGGACACTATGGAGCTCCACGGGGGGTCTGTGGAACTCTTTTGAGGTCACTAAGAAGCTTGATGGGCTCACAAGGGAACTGCTATGGAGTCACATGAAGCTCAATGGGCTCATAGCGGAACTGTTGTGGGGTCACTCTCAAGCTCTAGGGAGTCAGGATGGAAATGTTATGGGGCCACTATGGAGCTCAAAGGGGTCACCATGGAGCTGCTGTGTGGTCATAATGTTCCTGTTATAGGGGCACCTTGGGCCTCCATGGAGTCTCCAAAGAATCATTATTGGGTGACTAAGAAGCTCAGTGGGGTCAGTATGGAACTGTTTTGGGGTCACTGTGCAGCTGTATGGTGTCACTATGGAGCTCTTATGGGGTCACTATGGAGCTTCAACAGGGACAATATAAAGTTCCATGGGGTCAGTATGGAACTGTTATGGGGCCACTATGGGGCTCTATGGCGTCACTATGAAACTCTTATGGTCATAATGGAGCTGCTCTGGGGTACGAATAGAACATGAATAGGGTCACCCTGGAGCTCTGTGGGGTCACTATGGAGCTCTGTGAGGTCACTACGGAGCTCTATATGGTCATCAAGAAGCTGTCAAGGGGTAACAATGGAACTTTTATGGGGTCACTATGGAGCTTTATGAGGTCACTATGGTACTCTGTGAGGTCATAATAGATCTATTATGTGGAACCTACAGAGCTCAATGGGGTCACAAGGGAACTGTTCTGGGGTCACTATGGCTCACTATTGTGTCACCATGCACCTCTGTGGAACTCTTATGGTTATAAGGGAAGTGTTATGGGGTAACAATGGAACTTTTATGGGATCAGTATGAGCTCCATGGGGTCATAATGGAACCTTCATGGGGTCACTATGGAGCTCTTTGAGGTCGTAATAGCTCTGTTATTTGGAATCTATGGAGCTCAATGGGGTCACAAGGGAACTACTATGGGGTCACTAGGCAACTCCCTAAGGTCACTATGGATCTCGTGGGGTGTCTATGGAACTGTTCTGAGGTCCCTAACAAGCATGTTATCTTTATTTTCAGTGATAGAAGTATTTTAGACCTTTTTTCATTCTATTAACTCCCCCTGAATTTTCTACAATTCGTCTTTGAAAGCTGGTTTTTCAACTGGACATTGGAAAATAGTTGAATTCCTCTGGCAAGAGAATTACAGGTAATGTGTCTTGTGGGCAATTCTCTCAATTTATCTCAGCTGGGGGGTGGATTACATTGTATTTCAAGTTCCCTTCTTGGACATATTTTCTGCAATTTCTACAATTTCCCCTGCTTTTCCATGGATACCTATCAGTGTCATGTAAGCACATCAGACTTGGCGCCTTACTATGTCATATACCTCACACTTCCATAGGTGTATTAAGAACAGGTGACCTTCCGCTTTTCATACAGCTGCAGCCATCCCATCTGATTTATCTTCATAAGCAACTGGCCAGTGATGCCATGACATTCCCCTGCCTGGCCATGCTGTGGGTATTGTTAGTCCCTGGGTGCTGTTTGAGAGCAGCAGTGCAACACAGTGAGATGAGGTGGCACTTTTGCTTGGTGATGTCCCCAGCATTGCAGTGGCAGCAGAAGGGTGAGATTGGCTGCTTTCTGTCTCTCCGCAGTTGCTTGTTCCAGTGAATTAAGGCTGATGATTCCCTGTCTTGGCTCATAGACTGACTCATCCATTCTCCCAAGCATGGGTATTTACGACAAGCAAAGGAAAGGCTTGAATAAAGAGGGCAGCAGTGGCACTTCTGCTAGGCTAGGGAGCTGCTGGAGTCAGCTCATTACTAACAAGCAGTTAGTGCCACTTACCCACTGATAAGGGTACGCAAAGCACCCCCTGTGGGCTTCTTGCTGGCAAAGGCTTGCCCTTTCCATAGGACAAGACTCAGCAAGATGTTTAACCTAAAACAGATGAGTAATCACATGCCGGTGTGCTGAGAAGAACGAAGGAGGCAAATGCTAAAATGCTTTTCTACCTTTGAGACCTTCTTTAAAATTCACCTCTGCCTATGCTCAGCTGCATGGCTGGTACAATGTCTGTTTTTCAGTAGTTTACTTTGAAAAAGTAAGGCACAATGCACTCGCATCTCTTTTTTGTAAAAAGTCATTTTAGATCCCTGAATGTGCAAACGCCAGCACCTCATTGCCATCAAAAAGCAATTAACATAACTGATGAGTGGCAGGAAATCAAAATACAGTCAGATCTAGCAGTTCTAGAGTCAGGGATGTAAATTATACAGGCACACACTTTTCTGTACGATGACTCTATTTGTTCTCTTTCCATTGTATTCAAAAGTGAATTACAATCTTGAAAGGTTCTATCTCTCCCAGATAACTGAAAAAGCTAATTAAAAACAAAAGCCACAGATGTAATCATTGCTTAGTGCTGTAAGCATAACATGACCTAATGCTATTATGAGTTCTGAACAAATTTCAATTAGAACTCCAGCTGGTAAACAGACAAATGTGATAACAACATTTTAATATTACATAATCACTTGTTAGTAAAAGTCATTTTTATTTTAGCCATTCATACGGATCAAAAATAATTTTACATTTAGATAGGTTTTTCAATACAATTGTAGGGCAGAAGATGGGGGTTGGAGCTCAATGATCTCTAAGGTCCCTTCCAACATAAGTCATTATATGATTCTGTGTTTGAATCAGTAATATTTGAGAAGATCCTCTTCGGGGGTATGTTTCATTTTTTTAATTAATCAATCATTTTGGATTAAATCACCTTGTAGCTTGCCGGCAACTTACACTATTCAGATCAGAAAAGTAATTCAAAGATATGCTTTGTGCTCATTGGCATTGGAAAGAATCAATTCCAGGTTGCAATTGCCTTTTGTTGCTCGAAGTGCTTTTTTATTTATAGTCTCACTGAGCTTTAGGCAATGAGGGGAATGGAATTTCTGGCAGAGCTGGAATTCAGAACATGAAGAAGCTGGGGAGACATTTTGCAGCAGGGTATGTATTGGTACAATACTTAGAGCACAAACATGAGTCTGCCTGGATCCTTGTGGTGAATGGGTGTAGTCCATCATCATAGTAGTTCTGGCATGGCTATGGACAGCCAGGACCAGTTTTCTCCACACTACCCCCTAGAAAATGTACCCGACAGAGACTTGAAGAGAGACAGAGAAACATAGAAATCTTCCCAAGACACAGAGACAGGGATGAAAACAGTGACTGTACAGAATGTTCTCCATGTCCCACCAGGCTGGCATCATGCTGCTGTACTGCAAACTGTGCAATCCCAGCACTGGATTTCAAGACAGGTGTAGAGGACCTGGCTGGTAGGATGATGACAGCTTACTCAGCTCATCAGCATACAATTCCTCCATCTTGTGATTTAAAACACTGATAAAATGGAGAAGCACACTGGCCTAACTGTACCAAGGGAGGAAATCTGCTCCAAGATGGAGACAGTGAGGGAAAGCACAATGCAGGGCTCATGCCATTAACCTGCTGTAACCTGGTCCTCAAGGGACCACCCTTAACAGGGAGGTGCTCAGCATCTTGTTCTCTGTGCAGGGAGCAAGAACCTCTCTGTGCAGAGAGGTATGATATGCCACTCTGATGAAGATTATGTGCCTGATATGGTTACCTATATGTAGTTTGGCTTCATTTGCATGCAGCAGTTCTTCTGACTTCAGAGTTATTTGATGGCAGAGACAACAGAAGCTGTCACTACTGTGAAATAAAATTCTTGCTATCCCTCAGTGACATGATTTTTTCCTTCCCCC